ACACCGAGGAAGATGAGGAAGATGATGACTGCATGATTGTGGATGTACAGCCAGCAAAAGGTGGGAATGCTGACACTCCCCCCAGGGAGAGCACGGCAGAGCAGGGACAGCGGGCACCTGAACTTGGGTTTTTCTGCCCCTTTTTTCACCATTCCTTGAGCTCTTCTCTCTCTCCAGCTTTTATCCTAAACACTTCTCTGCTTGTTATCATTTTTTTTTTCTGGGTGCTTCTTTGCTATTTCTGGTCTCCTCTAACCTGCTCCTGCCTTTTCTTTCCCTCCTCCTCCTCCTCCTCCCTCCTAAATAGCACGAAAACACTTGTGACTAGCACTTGGCTGCCAGTGTTACCTGTTTATTTCTGGGAAGTAAAAAAAAAAAAAAAATAAAAAGGGGAGCATTAAGGGTTTGTAGCCAGCAGATCCATTAATTATTGGGGAATGCTGCTGCTCCCTGGGGTGCTCAGAGGTTTTGTGTCAGGCAGCTCCTCCTCCAGAGCACGGGAATTCTGGAGGGTCTGAGCCATCCCAGGCGGATCTGGGCGCTCTCCTGTCTCTCTGGAGCTGCTGCTCCATCCTCTCCCACCACCTCCCAAAAGAAAAAAAAAACAACCACCTGCTTGACAAGCAGCTTGGCTTTAATCTCTAAGCTGCTTTTGCTTCATTACCAGGGCTCTGAGAGATGAAAAAACCTCGCCTCAGGTTTGTCACCCCCTTGTTCTGGAGGTGCCGTTCAGCAGCTTCCCCTCCCTCGGGCTCTGCTGACACAAACTGCAGCCGTGCTGGTTTAGCTCTGCCCGACTCAAAAGGCACTGAAAAGATTATGAAAATCCCTTTTTTTTTTTAGTGGTTGAAGTGATTTGTCTTTATTGTTTCATTTTTTTTTATTCTGGGTGGGTGATAATAAATACAAAATCAACATTTAAAGCCGGTTTTGGAGCAAGGGGTGAGAAGGAGGAAGCTGCGACAAAACAGGGAGTAGATAAATTCTGCTGGATTAACGAGGTTATTTAACAACAAACCCAACGTGTTTTGTCCTTTGCAGACTCTACAGCTTCGGAACCCAGTGGTACAAGAGCTGCTCCCCAGGACACCAGCCCACCTAATGCAGTTTGAGACTCAAAATGCCTACTAACTCCTCTGTATGTATGTAGAATGAGTTAGAAAACTTTAAACCCTGTGTATCTTCGCCCAAGATACTTGAAAGTATTCCACATTTCTTGTAAAGAGAAGACAGCACTTTGTTCTGCTTCAGCCCAGATGGAAGCTTAAATTTTTATTTTTTTTTTTTTTTTTAGTTCTAGCTTTTTAGCTTGTTTTTTTTAATTAAAAAAAAACACAAACAAAAACAAAAAAACTGCATATTAATCTGACCTTAATAAAGCATTATTGAAATTTTGATACTTCTTTGTAATGGAAGGTATCTAAGTTATCTCTAAGAGTAGCTGAGGGATTTTTGGGATAAGCTTATTGTGATGCCACGGGGTGGGGGGAATGACTGTTCATAATGTTGTACAGCGTGGCCTTGGGTATGAAATGATGTACAATTATATATGGATTTATGCTCTTGTACCATCCTGTCTGTGGTTTTGCTTGCTACAGAGAACAGCACATTTGGAAAGAGGAGGTGGGGAAAAAAAAAAAAAAAGGTATCTTGTTGCTCTTATTTTGGAATTAATTACAGGTCAGGGGGAGATTCTCAGTCCCCTTGTTTACATCAGAGCTTGTCTCTGGCCCACGGGAAAACATGAAGGTTGAGGTATAAAGGACTAAAGGGGCATTAAACTTGATGGGATAGGGAACAAAGTGCGGTTTTCTGGGATTTTTTGGTTATTAATTAGGCCCTTAAAAAGGGGGTTCATGTCCCCAGTGGGCACCACCAGCAGCCGGAACCTGCTGTCAGTCTCTGGGTCTGCCAAGGGAAAAAGGGGGGGGTCAGGCTGCCCCAGTAAACACCAGTGCCAGCCCCAGCCCTGACTGGTTTGGCATTCCCAACCCCTCACAGTGCAATTCAAATCACTTGGAGCAGAACTGAGTCCTTAAATAATTCCATTTAATCAGACTTAAGTGTCACCTTACCCCGCTAAACTCCCTCCCGTGGGAGTTCCAGTGCACACAGAAGCAAAAGGGGCAGCTGAGTTCTAAACCCAGCCCCACCCCCCTGAGCTCAGGATGGTGATCCAGCCTAGCAGCACTAATCCCTGCTCCACCACTGCCTTGGGAACACCCTCCTGGAATGTGGTGCTTAAAAGCCCCCCTGGGAGCAGCCCAGGAAGTGCCTCCCTGGGCGAGGCTGCGGCTCCTGGAGCTGCGTGGGGACAGAGTGCAGGGTCTGCACGGCCCCCCCCCACCGTCCCCTGTGAGGGCACACAGCTGGCAGCTGTTTGGGAAGGGAGGGAAGAGTCTAAACCAGCAGCACTGAACCCACTGCCCTTTTATTTCAGGGGAGGGTCTCCACCCTGGCCAGGAGCTCCGGCCTCAGGGGGCTGCGGGGCTGTTCCTCTCCTGCTGCCTCGATGTCTGCCATGACTGCTGCGTCCCAGGACAGGCTCAGGAGGGCTGAGGGCACCTGCCACAGGAGAGGCATGTTAGTGAGCTGGAAAATCAGGGAATGCTTTGGGTTGGAAGGGACTTGAGAGTTCAGCTTGCTTCACCCACACCCCCCCCCCCCACCTCCCACCAGACCAGGTTGCTCCACCCTGGCCTTGGGCACTTCCAGGGATGGTGCATCCACCGTTTCTCTGAGCTTGTCAGAGCTCCAGGAGGGAGATCCCTGCAGTTCCCTCCAGACTCTGAAACCTCCAAGCAGTTTCTTGTTTGCTTGTGCTTAAAACGAGGGGCCAGGGCACAACCCCAAGCTCTGAGACTGTAATGGAAGGTGCTCCCTAAAATGTAAGTTCTCCCTAAAAGCAGCTGAGGGATTTTGGAACAAGCTTACTGGGGGACTCTGTGGAAGGTACCAACTCTCACTGGCTTTTTTTTTTTTTCCACTCACCAGCCCACATTCATTGAAGGCCAAGTTCTCATCAGTGAGTTTGAGACCTCCAGGCCCCAGCAGCTCAAAGGGCAGCCAGTCATCTCTGAGTGCTTCCCTCACGAAGCTGTAGAGCACAGACACGGCTTCTCGGGCATAAAACGTCCCTGCCACGAGAGAAACGAGGTGAGGGAGTGTGGCCTTTCCCAAAAATCCAACCTTTTGTGGCCCCTTCTGACTGTCTCAACGACTTCAGTGCCACGCAGCCAGGCTGATTTAACCCAAAATGCATGAAAGCAGAGTGCCCAAAGAAAGTTCTCAAATTGTTGCAAGCCCCTGCCAGGCTGTGACAAAGAGCTGGGAAAGCCTGAAGTGATTTCCAGAGTTCTGCTGGAAGATTGGAAGGGGATTTATGCCATTGTACAGCCTGACACCACACAGGGCAACCTCCTGCTGGTTCCTGTGATGCGCTGGTCTAATGAGTCCAGCTCGTTCCCAGAGGTTTGGGAAGAGGAGACTTTAATTAATGATGCCTTGGGATTCTTCCCCACCCTTAAAATCCCACCCCTGAAATGGAGATGGGAATTCTTGGGGAAACATCCCACTCTGGTTTGGTGTTTTATTCTACGAGCTGTGTTAATATTCAGCTTTTTGTCCTCCAGGCACCCTCAGAAGGTGCCCAAAGGCAGGATGAGGAGGGTGAGGAGCCTTTTTTTTTTTTTACCTTGGAGGATGTATCCGTCAGGAAAGCGCACTCGGAGCAGGGTGTAGTTGTACTTCCTCATCTCCTTCTGCTCCTCCTTCTCCCTCATGGCTCTTGTCCTCAGCATCAACGACTTCTCCACCGCCTCTGTCCTGCGGGGAGAGACCCTTTCAGGCACCAGGGACGGGGTCAAACCGGGACAGCAGGGACTGGCTGGCATCCCCTGGCCCCTCCTGCTGCTCCAGCCCCTCAGGAAAAACCCAGGACCACACCAGTGCCACGGTCTGGGGGACAAGGTGGTGCTGGGTCACGGGTTGGACTGGACGATCTCAGAGGTCTTTTCCAACCTGGCTGATTCTGTGGGACAAAACCCTGGCTGGCACCCCCTGGTCTCTCCTCCTGCTGCTCCAGGCCCTCAGGAGAGGGACAACCCCCTGGCCCCTCCTCCTGTTCCCCCCCCTCACCGCAGCCGCTGCTCCCTGCGGATCTCGTCGGCGCTGAGGTTGTAGAAGTCGTCGGGCAGCTCGAACCTGGCGGCCGCGGGGGAGGGCTGGAACACGCGGGGCTGCCGGTCCAGCCGCGCCCGCACGGGCTCCGAGCTCAGCAGCTGCTCCTTGCGGTCCTTGAGGTCCTCCAGCCGCGCCAGCACCTCCTCCTTGAGCACGTAGAACTGCTCCTCCTCGGGGCCATCTGCAACCACGCGGGCAGGGGGGCTGTGCCCGGATCCCCCCTGGCTGCAAAGCCTGGCCCCTAAACGCCCTGCTAACCCCAGGACCTGCCAGCTCTGCTCCCTGAAAATCCTTTTTTCCTGGAAACCCCCTTCCCCTAGAAACCCTGCTCCCAGCAAACCCCACTCCCCTGGAAACTCCATTCCCTGCAAACCCCGATACCTGAAAACCTCGTTCCCCTGAAAACCCCGTTCCCCCCCCAGTCCTTCCAAACCCCACTCCCAGCAAACCCCAATTCCTGCAAACCCTATTCCCCTGAAAACCCCATTCCCTGCAAACCCAGTTCCCCTGAAAACCCCACTCCCCACAAACCCCATTTCCCTGCAAACCCCACTCCCTTTTGAGGCTCTCTGTCTTTCCAGGAACGATGTAGGAAACAGAAGGGGAAGGATCTTTAGAAAACATCGTGTCTTGCCAGAGAACCCCCCCCCCCAAAACCCCACATCAACACTCTGGCCTTCCTTGCCTTGCCCTGGAACAGGCAGCGTTTTCGTCTCAAACCCCACAGCCTGGAAAAACTTGTGTGCCCCTTCCAAGCAGCTTATCCTTTCCTGGAAGGAAAGGACAGGATTTAGATGGAGTTTGCTCCAAGCAAAGGAAACTTTCCGAAGCCGGGCAGCTGCAGGAGCCCCGAGCTCACCTGAAACACCTTGTTCTGCAGTTTGATTTTCTGGTATTTCTCCTCCTCTGGATGGAGGTAGATGTTGTCCAGGTACCTGCAGGAAGAGGGAGGCACTGCGTGGAGCAAAGCAGGACATGATCTTCCAAGTTGGAACAGGAAACGGAGACCTCAGAGTATTTCTCGCAGAGAAAAGAGGTGAGTAAAATATATCAGCGTTTCCAAATCTCCTGGCTTGGTGGCCCAACCCCTTCATTTTAAAACACCTCCAGGATGCTGAAATCGGGTCATCTGGCAATTCAGGTGTTTCTTCCCCCCCTCAAAAAATCCCCACTTTTCCTGGAGCACAGCAAGAAAACCCACCTGGGAAAGGGCCGAGCCCCCCGTGCCCTCAGTCCCACTAAGGCAGCCCCGCTCACTTGGCCATGGTCTCCACGCCCACCCGGACCTTCTCCCGGTCCTTGTTGAAGGTGTGGATCTCCATGATGGAAGCAGCCACTGGATCCACGGAGAAATACTGGGGGAGAAGGAGAGGAGCTGGTCAGGGAGGAGCTGAGCCCAACTCAGCACCACATTTTGTTCCTCCCCACCGTGGGATAAAACACCCCTAAAGGCAGTTCAACAGGTAAAGTTAAATTGTCCTGGGGGAGATTTTACAGGGAGAAGGTTGGAGAGGTCACTGCAGGGGACACAAAAGGAGTTAAAGGAGGAGAAGGAGGAAGGAAAACACTCACTGCCTGGATGGCTTCCCGTAGATGCTTTTCTTTCTGGTCTTTCCTCACCACGGCACCGGTCAAGGGGCAGATAAAATAGACCCCTGAGACAGAGGGAGCAGCTGCCCCTTCCTCCTGCTCCTGAAGGAGGGAAAACCAGGCATCAAACTGAGCTTGGCTCGGGTTTGCCTGTTGTTTAACACCCTGGCTGATCCCCACGGGGCAGGCAGAGCAGGGAAGGGCAGCACCTCCCTCACCTTCTCCTCCTCGGGGAGCCCCTTCTCGCTGGCAGCTGCCTCGGCCATCAGCTCTCTCCTCACTAGGAGACACAAAACCCTGGTTACAGCACGGGCTCAGCACATTCCAGAGGCTTTGGGACAGCACAGGGGAGGGGAACACCTGGGGAAGGGAACAACACCTGCCCAGGTGTTGTGTCCCAGCCCAAGGGTGACTGTGACCCTGACCCCATTCCCATTGCGCTCAAGCAGCTCCCAGTGTCCCACCCTGGCAGTTTTCCACCCGGGACCGCCGTCCCCGGGCTCTGCTGGAGCTCCAGCCATTCCTACCCTGGTTCTTGATGGTTTCCTGGGAGCAGGAAGGCGCCTTTCCCTTAGGCTTCAGCTCGAGCCGGGCCAGCGCCGCGGCCGCCGCCATCTGAGCCTCGTCCGTCGGGGCCTGGCGGGGCTTGGGGGCTGCCTCGGCTTTGGGCTTCTCCCTGGGGGCCCTGGGAGGGGGGACACGGGCTTGGTGACCCCCCTCTTGGGATTAATTAGGGTGTGGGTTATGGGGGGGTTAATCAAGGGGACAGGGGGACACCCCTTCTTGCACAGGGATACCCCCCCCAAAAGGAACAGGACGCCCCACGGCCCAGCCCGGGGGGGGGTTCATTTAGAGGTTAGGGGTTAATTAGGTGGGTTAATTAGAAGGGTAGGGTCTCGTTTTGGGGAGGGAGGGGATGTGCACAACACATCCTCTTCGAAGCAGGGGCTCCAAAATTAATAACACCCCCTTTTTCCCCCAGGGTAAGGGGGAATGACCCAAACCGGGGATAACGACCCAAACCCCAAGGCAAACAACCCAAACCGGAGGATAACGACCCAAAACCGGGGATAACGACCCAAACCCGGGGATAACGACACAAGCCGGGGGAAAACCGACCCAAATCGGAGGATAACGACCCAAACGGGGGGTAACGACCCAAACGGGGGGGAAACGACCCAAAGCCGGGAATAACGACCCCAAAACCGGAGGGAAACGACCCAAACCCGTCCCCACGGAGCGGGGACACCGCTGTCCCCCGGGGGATGCGCCGGGGTCGGTCCCGGTGTGCCCCCCGTTCCCTCTGGGAGGCCCGGGGGGTCCCGGGGATGGCTCCCGATCCCCCCTGCACCCCATCCCCCGTTACCGGGACGGCTCCGAGAGCTTCTGCCCGGGCCCCGCCGTCTTGAACTTCAGGTCGGCCTTGATCTCCTGGAAGAACTTGCGCATGGCGGGGCCGGGAACGCCGGGCCGGGGCCGGGCCGGGATCGGGAGCACCGGGACAGGGACAGGACAGGGATCGGGAGCACCGGGACAGGGATCGGGAGCACCGGGACAGGGATCAGGAGGACCGGGAGCTCCGGGCCAGGGCCGGGCCCCGCCCGCCTTTCCGGCCCGCCCTCACCGTCACCGGAACGGGCCGGGCCGGCCCCGCTCGGGCCCCGGCGGAGGCGAGGATGGAATTCACGGGCCCTCACGGCCCCCAGTGCCCCCGGGAGCAGCCTCGGGCTGATCAATCCAGCCTGAAACGGGCCCTGGATCTGGGACACAGCCTGGGCTAGGGGGGGGTAAAGGACACGGGAGAGGGGGCTCGTGTCCCTCCCACCCCACAAAGCAGGTGGGAGATGGGCCAAGGGGCCCAAAACCTGAGGATGGACAAGCACTCTGCGAGTCAGGCTGTTCCACGAGGTTTAATTCCACAGCACAACTACTCCTCCTGGGACATGGGACACGGGACACTGACTGCCGAGGAAGGGGCTGCCATGGGGCAGGATCGGGTGGACCCCCCACCCCAAATGGGGGGGGGGGGGGTCTGTGTTCACCTGGGCAGGGGCAGCTGTGGAACAGCTCCTGGCACTGCTGCTCCGGTGGCATCAGCACAGGGATCAACTGTTGGGACACCACGGTGGCAACCAGGGCCACAAACACGGGGGTGAAGGAACGATCTGCGGTGGAATCGCCAGTGGGGATTCCTGGACTGAGACATGGAGTCACTGGGCCCACAGCACAGGAGACATTGTGGAGAACACAGAGACCCCCGAGAACCGCTGGGATACGGCACAGATGGGATATGGCATAGACTGGATATGGCACAGCTTGGATATGGCACGGCCCAGCAGGAGTGAGGGCTCACCTACTGTGTGAACTCCCAGCAGCCTCCAGACACCCCTCACTCCACGGATTCCATCCGGCAAAGCCCGGTGGAATTTCCTCTCAACACACCCCACGGTCTGTCCCCACGTGGGGGTTGTCCCCACACCTCCCCCAGGGCCATGTTCCCCAAAGGAACAGTTTTCCCCCCGCCGTGACGTGGTTTGATGTTTTGGGTTCTGCTCCTGCCAGGAACAGCCCAGTGTGGGCAGAGCCTGCGTTTCTGTGACCTTGCAGATAACCCAGTTTGGGTTAAACCCGGAGTAAATCCCACCCCAGCCCCCGGGGCAGCTCCTCATGGTTCTTCCTCTGGTTTAGCTGGACTGAGCTCAGGGTTGGACTGGCCCCAGTGCCGAGGGGGTTCAGTCTGGCCAAGGGTGCAAGGAAGGGCTTCAGCTGCATCCCCAGGCTGGGGGGCCCATGGGGGCGGTGGATGGGGCACAGTGGGGGTTTGCCCCCCCCCATAGCCCTGGTCCATCCACTATAGCCCCAAACCCTCTCCCATAGCCCTCTGACACCCCCCAATCCTCATGCCTCCCATAGCCCCTGCCCCCTCCCCACATCCCTGTGACCCCCCGCCCCTGTCTCCCTCCATAAACCCCTGATGCCCTTCATATCCCCGTGATCCCCCCAGCCCTGCCTCTCTCCATAGTCCTGTCCCCATATCCCATATTCCCAAGGCCCTGTGACCCCTCCCAGCCTTGTGACCCCGCCAGTCCTGTCCCCCCCATATCTCCA